AACTTTTTGATTCACCAATCCAATTAGATGACTTAACTATGAAAATGATCCTCTCATTGAAAGGACCAATTTGGTAGTTAAGTCATCTAGTTGTTTATTTAATTCTAAAAGATTAGTCTTAAATAGCAATAATTTGATAAAATGTTAATTATAAACTTTTTTAATTTGTTATATTAATACGTGATGTATCAGGAGTAATAGAATTACCTAAATTAAATATGCTAATGCTTGACTTACGAATGAAAAATCAAATACCTTAATAAAATTTGTATTATTTATATTTAACCTTATTTTTTTCACATAATTCAATTTACCCCTTTTATCTGTTAACTTAAATGCCACTCGCACATGAATAAACAGCTTGAAGAGGGATCACATATTGAAAAAATCCTTGAAACAAATAATAACTATCCCGTTAATGATAAACTTTAGCATATTTTCAGTTTATTCTCCTACGGCATCAAGATGCCGTCAAAGAATAAACTGCATTTCAATGAATCATGATAAAATTAAACATAATAATTCTTACATTTGTGACATTTTTGATATGGACTTAATGTTAACGTGGGGTGGGTGGTCAACTAATTAAAGCAAACCTATATGTAGACCCATAGTTAAACAATTAGGCCAATTTTTTAATATGAATGTATTGTTAATCTTGAAGGTAAATTCAATAAATTAAAGTTTGTAACAACGTTAATAGAATGCCAAATTTTGAGATTTGATATCAAAGGTAAACTTTGAGTTTAAATTTATGCTGTGTTGTAATCAAATCATAAAATTTTACTTAGTAGAAAATATTTTAAGGGGTCAAATCGCAATGAATATTTAATGTTAATAAATATCTTAGTTTAATAAAGTTTATTATATAATTAATATATTTTTTTATTAATAAAAAAATATGAGAGTTTATTATTTCAATTTACAAACATTTCATGGCAGACCATCTTTTTTTCATTCCTGGCTTAGCAAAATTTATGATTAATTGAGCATTATCATGCAACAACTGAATATTGACGAAGTAAATATAGTGATGACAAGTAACAATTGCTTGATTTATTATAGTAAATTAGCATTGTCACGTTTATTAATTTTACATAAATATAATTATAGTTGTGCACAATTATGATCATTAGCTACTCACATTGAGATTGAGACTTGAGAACACACAGTCAGATGTAAAAAAAAATCAATTAGGGTGCCAAGGTAAAGTGGTAGCACAACCTAAAATTTTAATTTTATAAACAATTGCACTTGATCTTAATTTTCAATTGGTAGACCTCTACCTAAAAATTATTGATTGAACGTGAATACTTTAATACTGATATAGTCATACCTTCTATTATGGTTTTGTGTACAGCTCAGATTGGATTGTGTAACTTTTTTTTGATATCGATATTGATATAATGATAGATCTACAAATTTTCTTTTTCTAGCAATTATTCATGTTTAAGATCTGTTTCTAACGAAATATGTAATGCAAAGAAAAAAAACCTAATATTAGATGAGTATTATTATTTGGTAGTTTAAAAAATGACTCTCATTGACTTTAGTTTTGTTATTCAAGAAGGTAAGACAGAAATTGAGTGTGTATATATTGAAGAAAGAGTTAGAAAAAAGTCACCGCGCAAGAAGGAGAAAGAGTTAGAAGATAAAGTTGTTGTGTTTTTAAGAAGCAAGCATGTTAGTTGTGTAGGAACAGGGTGAGTTTATTTCACTAAGTTAATGTGTGTGTATTGTATTCTAAAGTTACGCTGCCACTATTGATGTAAATTATCTGGAATGAAAGCTCTTCATAGCTAACAGTTTCAGTTATTAAACGTTCTTCCAGTTTTTGATGTTCGGCTATGCCTGCTACCACGCTTCCGAATTTATGGTAAATAGGAATACATACAGATTGAGAATTGAAAGCACTTTGTGGTTAACTCTTTTGTTAAATGTTCTTCTCGGTTTTAGAAAATTCGCGATTTTCTATCACGTTATTCATTATTTTTATTAT